TATATATATATAAATAAATAACCTTAAAAGTAGTTGTGTAAATTTTGGAAAGTGGTGCAAATACATTTTCAAAGAATATAAATTTTTGCGTTGCTAAAATAATCAGCAGAGGGGACAAATAACACTCGTGACACAATTTTAAACCATGAAGAAGAGTGAGGGGGCGGAGCGTTTAATTTGAGGCATGCTGGGATATGCAGTTTATAATAATCAACACAAACGAATCTTCTTTTCCAGTTTGGTAAAATAATAGTTGCGAAGTGGAACTTTTATAAAATGTAAATTTTAAGTCCAGTATGTGGTAAAAGCAATAATATTACATAAACGATGATTTTTGACTAATTTTCTTCTCGAACCTTCTGCGCTGTACTCGTTTACCCATAGAGCACCGCGGCGCTTCCTTTCTTCTTGCTTGGTGCGGCGCTCCAATATGTCGATGCTAGAAGGTCCGTTAAACGTGTTCGGCCAGAGAACAACCGGCGAATCGGTTCGCACTCAAAATGGTGAGTTGTGCAGCTAAGCGTTGCGCGTTAGTTCAGGTCTTTGTGGATTTATTTAAAGCGGCGGAAATATGAACTAATTTACTCAAACACGTGCGGCTTATGCTAAGTGTTAGCTAACTTTATTGTAAATTTTAAGACGCCGCTGAATCTCTTTTTAAAACTCATTTACGTTTGTTATATTTCAAAAATAACTACATATTAAAATAAGCTTATTTTTTGTGAAAACACCCCATATTAGTACCTTCCTTTCAGTCTAAATGAATGGAGGGCTATGCTAATGGGGTAGAGAAAATGTCACGATCTGAAGGTGTGGCTAGCTAACCGTGCGCCACTCTTAATAAAGTGACAGAACATTTTAAACGATTTACTAATTAACACAACTACGCTCAAGTTAAAATAAATATAGAAGACTACAGCATCTTTTTGTGTTTGCAGTCATGGCCGCAGCGTCCATCGCCAACATCGTTAAGAGCTCCCTCGGACCTGTTGGCCTCGACAAGATGCTGGTGGACGACATAGGGGTTTGTGTCCCATTAGGAGTGATTGCTAAGCTGTTGTTGACAGCCTGATGAAATTGGATAGTAGCTGCACGTTTTGTTTGCTTAACAGTCTTTGCATTGTCATTGTATAAAAGGATGTGACCATCACCAACGATGGGGCGACCATCCTGAAGCTGTTGGAAGTGGAGCACCCAGCTGCCAAGGTCCTCTGTGAACTGGCTGACCTGCAGGACAAGGAGGTCGGGGACGGGACCACGTCTGTGGTGAGACGCAGCCCTGGGAGAAAAACAAGGGTGATGGGGTGATATTTCCCTAAGAGCTTTTCCATCCGGCTCTCGACATCATATCAAATTGAAGTAGTTTTTTTAAATTAAATAATCTAGAGGCAAGCAAAACAAAATCTTTTTCTCTTATCTTAACAGAATGCAGCCCATGTTTTGCCCAAAAAAGGTTTGTCAGGTGATTAAGGTCACCAATTTATTAAAGAATACTTATAAAAAGTGATGAGTGAAAGACTCCCAAGGCTGTTTCCACATGGAAATGTAGTTGTATCTGCTTTAGTCACCATGCCAGGCTTGAATGTTGGCCTTAAAATGCAGCCATGAAAACGCACCAGAACAGGAAACCTGGCGTGCATAAAGTTTGCACGCTGGATGTGAAATGGAAACGCAAGAAGAAGAAAAATGAGCACCCTCGGGTCATCAGCGAGATTAGGGTGAGGCAAGGATATAGTTTTCAGAGTGTTGAGTTTAGGCTGACTACACAAAAAGGCAAGAGTGGCATTTCAAGAGGTTTTTCTGGCACTTTTGCTCATGACAAAGATCTTGCTTTTCTTTTTTTGCGGGGGTGGGTGGGATGTTGCTCCTATTTAAGGCAACTAGTTTAAAAAAAAAGTTCTGTTTTATTTCAGGGTTTAGCAGCAATAAACAATCACTCATTCTCCAAATTAAGTCACTTCTGCTACTTAAAAAGTGCTCACCCAAAGCAGAATTAAAAGCTCAATATTATAGTTTGTAAAATAAAGTCTTTCATTTGTGTATGTTAAACTTTGTGTGTTTTTGAAGGTCATTCTTGCTGCAGAGTTGCTAAAGAGTGCAGATGAGCTGGTGAAGCAGAAAATTCACCCTACATCAGTCATCAGTGGATACCGCCTGGCATGCAAGTAAGACAAGTCAGGAAAAAAAGTATTTTTACTTTTGTTAATGATTCGCCTGACGGGAAAATGTTCTTGGATCGTTGTAGAGAAGCAGTGCGCTACATTAATGAGAACTTGACCATCGGGACGGATGACCTGGGCAGAGAATGTTTAATCAATGCAGCCAAGACTTCCATGTCCTCCAAAATCATTGGAGTGTATCCTGAACAAGTCTGGATCTAGATCACCATCAATGTTTTATTCTTTCTCTTTGCATAAAGCAACGTTCTTGCATTTATCACCTTAACTTTGAGCCCTCAGTGATTCAGAGTTCTTTGCCAACATGGTGGTGGATGCTGCCTTGGCTGTGAAGTTTACTGACAGCAAAGGAGTGGCCAAATATCCCATCAACTCAGTGAACGTGTTAAAAGCCCACGGCCGCAGCCAGAAAGAAAGTTTCTTGGTCAACGGATATGCACTGAACTGCACAGTTGGTTCACAAGGTACAGCTGGAAAATGTGGAACAAATATGTCTTAAATGTAGCAGTTTAGTGCTGAACTCCCATTAATTTTGCCGCCATGTCTTTGTTGATGACGTGTGCAGTTATACGCGTGGGAGATATGAAACTGACTGAAAAGGATGAAGTTGCAGTAATGTCTAAACTGCAACGCTTCTTTTGGCCAGACAAACAAGAAAGAGCTGGAGGGGGAGAACCTTTGTTTATATTTCTATTATTTAAGTTATATTATGTTTGCAGGAATGGTGAAGCGTGTTGTAAATGCCAAGATAGCTTGCCTGGACTTCAGCCTGCAGAAGACCAAAATGAAGCTGGGAGTCCAAGTCGTCATCAACGATCCAGAGAAGCTCGACCAGATCAGACAGAGGTGGGTTACGTTTGTTTTTTATCTCTTGTTTGCCGCTCTCAAGTTCATGCATTTTAAAGAATCCTCCCATTTTAAATTTGCTGTGGTGCTGGATCAATAGCTCCTGCAGTGATACGCGTGGGAGAAAACATAAACAGCCACAAGTCAAAGCAGCAGCTTCTCTGTGAGCTGCAGGGACACTGTGAGCTGAATACACTGTGCAGAGCACGCTTTTCTAGTCTTCCATCATAAAAAGTAATAGAACCCAATTATCAAGTTTATCCATAGGACACTGAACCATGCTGATAAAGTGCTGAGCTTTGAATTCACTTGTGACGTTGCATTTTTATTCATAATAATAGCAAAGTTTGTTTTGTTTGGTTCAGGGAGTCTGATATCACCAAGGAGAGGATCCAGAAGATTTTAGCATCAGGAGCAAATGTTGTTTTGACCACTGGTGGCATCGATGACATGTGTCTCAAGTACTTTGTGGATATCGGGGCTATGGCAGTTAGACGGGTTCTCAAGAAGGACCTCAAACGTATCGCCAAGGCAACAGGAGGTAAGAAGTTATCAATCAATCAGTATTTATTTATAAAAGGTGCACAAAGTGCTTCATATTACAAAACGATTAAAAATGATACAAAAATGACAGAGTATTAAAAGCCTGCCTGAATAAAAATGTTTTGAGATTAGAGTTAAAAAGACACAGATCAGTGATGGAGCACAAGTCCTGACGTAGTCGTTTTCAGAGTCTGGGTGCAGCAAATGACGAGGCTCGGTGACCCCAACGTTTGTATTTGGACTTTGGGACAAACAGAAAAAATGTATTAGTTGATCTTGATGTTCTCTTACACTCACCTAAAGCTAATATCTCAGCCAAACAAGGTGGGGCAAGACCGTTAAGAACTTTAAAAGTGAATATAACAATTTTAAACTCGATTCTAAAATGGACTGGAAGCCAAGGAAGAGAAAATGTTCTGAATTACATTTTGAGTCTGTATGTTTTAATGTCACACCTTCTTATATTAACTTGAATTTCTGTAAATGTTTTGCGCTTGCAGCCACCGTCTGCCCCTCGCTGTCTAATCTGGAAGGAGAGGAAACGTTTGAAGCCACGATGCTCGGCCAGGCGGAGGAGGTCGTGCAGGAGCGCGTCTGTGACGACGAACTCATTCTTATCAAGAAGTACGAACGGCTACTGTTCAAGCTCCATTCATGTGCCGCTGCTGGGTCACAGAAAGTCCAACTAATTTAACACGGGGACTCTTCAGAGTTTTTATTTTTAAAGATTAAGTTGATTTTCAAAAATAGATGTTTGAGGAGGGTTTTTTTTTTTACGACAACTTTACACAAGCTCCGTAACTTCGGCTGTCTTTAGTTTAAATATTGAATACTAAGAGTTCAAACTTGATAAACCCAGGATGTTTGTCAGGAACTAAGGGAACTCTGTACATCAAGTTTAATTTGTGCGATTTTGTCTCTAAACCTCCGACTTCTCGTCCCCTCAGTACCAAAGCTCGCACCTCGGCCTCGATCATTCTGCGCGGAGCTAACGACTTCATGTGCGATGAGATGGAGCGCTCCCTGCACGATGCTCTCTGTGTGGTCAAGAGGGTCCTTGAGTCCAAGTCTGTAGTACCTGGAGGTGGCGCTGTGGAGGCAGCTCTGTCGATCTACCTGGAAAACTACGCCACCAGCATGGTGAGACCGAGATGATGAAAAGCTTCCACCTGTTGGGCTTTCTTCATGGTAGTACCTGCTAAAGTTAACCTTTTGCTTGCATTTCCTTTTCCTTTCCTCAGGGTTCCAGAGAGCAGTTGGCTATTGCAGAGTTTGCACGCTCTCTTCTCGTCATCCCCAAGACGCTGGCTGTGAACGCAGCACAGGACTCCACTGACTTGGTGGCCAAACTTCGAGCCTTCCACAACGAAGCCCAGGTCAACCCCGAACGCAAGAATCTCAAATGGTGAGTTTAGCATTCCTGAACAAAATCTACTAAATAAACTGGTGATGGAAAATGTTTCATTCATCTGTACTGAAATTTTAAGCTTAAGGTGTTGAATTGTTGTTTTTAAGAATACGGAACAAACTTGCAACTTGTCAGATAAAAGTGAAAATGTGTTCTTCGAGCTTCACTTCCTCAGATGTTTGATTTCGAACCTTTTTTGTTCTGTAGGATCGGTCTGGACTTGGTGAACGGCAAACCCAGAGACAACAAGCAGGCCGGTGTGTACGAACCCACCATGGTCAAGACGAAAAGCCTCAAGTTTGCCACCGAGGCCGCCATCACCATCCTCCGCATCGATGACCTCATCAAACTGTTCCCGGAGCCGAAAGAAGGCGGGCATTCGTACAAAGATGCCATTGAATCCGGGTCTCTAGAGAACTGAGAGGCTGATCGGGCCGGTTAGATTCAATATCTGTATTTATAGGTTAAGCTTTTCATGGCTGTTGCGTTTACTATAGGCGTGCACTTTGCCCATTCACTGTTCTCCCACTCCCCATCGTCTTTGGAGCTTCCGCTTCTAAAGAACGTTTTGTTTATGGACACATAATAAAGCTTCAGTGGTTGTAAACGACTGTTTATTTCTTAAACTATTAGATGTAAATTGATTGAATCACAGGAAAATAGTAACATACTAGTCGTTAGGAAGCACAAGCCTGTGAATTATGGCACTTTGAGGTTTGAGCTGATCTATACAACTTGTGAAGAGGAGCTTAACAGCAGTTTGGGAATGTAAACTTTATCTATTGAAAGCTTTAAAACAATTACACCACCTACAGTTTTTAGTGTTAAATGCAAATGTTTTAGTACCTAAAAGCTAATTAAAAAATATAGAAGTGTCTTTGCAGCAGCTAATATCAGTTAGCTACATTCAGTAACAGAACTTTCAGCAATTGTGTAAAAGCTGCATGTATACACATTTTACATAATTTGCAAAGCAGGATATAAACCTGAGGAATTGAAATACACAGTAAAGTGAAAAAATAAGAAAATGCCTTTTTAGCACGGCAGCTAGAAGGTAAATGCACGTTCAACGTTGACTGTAAACAATAAGATTTGATTATCCCTTCATTAAAATAAATCATGTACATTCTGTGAGGTATTCTTCTCAGATCTTCTCCACACACATGGCGATGCCCATTCCTCCTCCAATGCAGAGGGATGCCACTCCTTTGTTTCCTCCAGTCCTCTGGAGTGCATGCAGCAGGGTTACCAGCACTCTGCTGCCAGACATCCCAATGGGGTGACCCAGAGAAATGGCCCCGCCGCTCACGTTCACCTAAAAACAAAAGTAATCGATAAGATTCATCTTTTAGTTGCTGTGATGATTTAAGCAGAAGGTCGCGTGAAGGCTCTGATAAAAATCTGAAGTGTTACCTTGTCTCGATTTAGTCCGAGCTCTTTGATCACAGCAACTGACTGTGCAGCGAATGCTTCATTGATCTCAAATAGATCAACCTGATCCAGTTTCCAACCTGCTTTCTCAACCTGAGAGATGGTAAAAATTAAAGAAACAGAAAAGCACCAGCGTTCTGACATGTTCCATTTGATTATGTTAACTCACCGCTTTCCTGATGGCTGGTATCGGCCCAGTTCCCATGATGGAAGGATCAAGGCCTGCTTGAGCCCACGATACAATTTTAGCCATGGGTTTTACTCCCCGCCTCGCAGCCTCTGATTGGCTCATAAGAACAGTAGCGGCTGCTCCATCATTTATACCTGTAAACAAAAATACAAACAGCTTTTCGTTTGTTTTTCTAACAGACTCGGCGTTCTTTTGCAACCCGTGTTAATAACGATTTATGAGCTGCTTCGCAACCTGAAGCGTTTCCAGCTGTGACGGTGCCACTTCCATCTTTGATGAAACAAGGTTTGAGTTTGGACATGCTCTGAATGTTGCTTCCGTGTCGAGGGAACTCATCCACCTTCACCTCAACTGGACCTGAAGGAAAGAAAAATTCACATCACTGACAAGAAAGGCAAACAAGCTAATAAAGAACTAACAATGTCTTTACCTTTTCTGGATGGCACCATGATGGGGACAATCTCCTGATCAAAATGTCCAGCTTTCTGTGCTGCCTCGGTTTTGTTCTGAGACTGGACAGCAAACTGGTCCTGCTCCTCTCGACTGATGCCCCATTGCTTCGCCACGTTCTCAGCTGAGATTTATAATAAAAAGAAATATTAATGGAAACACCATCATGCACAGCATTAATGGAGTGAAATTATTCCATACATATACCTGTAATTCCCATATGGTAGCCATGGAAGGCATCCATCAGGCCGTCGGCAACCATGGAGTCTTGCAGTGGAACGTCACCCATTTTCACCCCTGCTCTCATGTGCAACATGTGAGGAGCCTGAGTAGACAGAGAAAACACAATTAAGACTTCCATCTCATATTCTTCTGAAACGCTCTGATTGTTACTAACCCTGCTCATGCTCTCCATGCCCCCTGCCACGACCACAGTGGCCTCTCCAGCCTGGATAGACTGAGCTCCCAGACACACCGATTTCAGCCCAGAACCACACACCATCTGGCAGCTCCACGCGGGGACAGAGTAAGGGATACCTGCCTCGACGCTGGCCTGTCGGGCTGCATTCTGCCCTTCGCCTTAAAGAAATGTACAGAATCTTTACGTAGTGACACAGGTTAAATGTTGGTGTGGCCCCATGAGATTTTCTAATCTTTTACCTGCTGTTAGGACATGTCCAACGATAACTTCAGAGACCTCATCCGGCTTCAACCCGGCCCGTTTCAGGACATCTTTGATCACAGCTGAACAAAGGTCACGCAGAGCCACCGTGGACAGAGTGCCATTCAAGCAACCTGTTTAAACGACACGATTATACTTTCTGTAAAATCTGTTTGCAGTTTTTCCATAATAGACAGGCTGGGGCCTACTTAAATGTAGTCGGAGATGAAATGTTCTTTGAAATGTCTGTTTGCTTTAGAATAGGGGTGCACCGATTGCAGTTTTCTGTCCAATCACCGATTTTTTTAAAGTCTGACCTGCCGATTCCGATTTTGGCCGATACCGATATTGTTCTATAATCGACACTGTCAGGTGTTATAAGGTCACAGTGCACCTTCAATTTTCAATCTTATTTTGTTGAAAAGCATACCCTTGAACAATATCCTAGAAACAATTCAAACTTGTTTTAACTGGCCATGAGGTAGTGCTCTGAAATATAAATGAAGTTCAGACAATTGTTGTTAAAACTAAAAAAAAAAATCGGTAATATCGGTTTCTCAAGCAAGTATCAGCCGATTTCCAATTTTCCCAAATTAAGGAAATCGGGGCCACCCCTACTTTAGCGTAGATAAGATTTTCTCCACTGCTTAAATGTGACATCATGTTGCCACATAATGTATCTATTCAATTATAGTAATTATCCATGCAAAACTGTACATCTGGTAAAAGGAACTGTAAATTGCTCCTCACAGTTCCAGGAACTCGTCTTAAGCGTAGAGGTGACAGGGCCTTCTCTGTAGCAGGACCGAGACTTTGGAACGAGTTGCCTCTGCTTGTCAGACAGGCCCCCTCCCTCTCGATTTTCAAATCCTGTTTAAAAACTCACTACTATTCAGTAGCATTTAACACCAGATGATCTGTGTTTTGAACCTCCACACTGGTTTGTCGTCATATTTATTATCTGCATCGTTTTTATGTCTATATTTTTGATTTACTTAATTTTGTATTTTGCTTCGTGCGTTGTCTGTTGTTCTGTCTGTTCAGCACTTTGGTTGGCCTTGTCGCTGTTTAAAGTGCTCTATAAATAAAATGATATGGTAAAATAATTGTAGCTGGTAAGATTTTGTGTGCTGTTTAACTTTGGAACATTTTATAAATTAGGTATAAAACAATCCATTTAGGCTCTAAAACTCCAATTAATGAGCAAAGTGAAAAATTAATTCTTAGCTAAAAAGACTCTTAAGAGGTTAGCTAAAATAAGTCTGACAAAGTTAAAGTATACCGTTTTAATTTTGTTTTGTCACTAATTTAACATTTCCTAACATTTCTATTTGGTTAAATTAATGATTGTAGAGTTTCTGTCCAAGTCTAAGCTTAAAAACTCGCTGCAAATATATAGATTTGACAAAAAAAAAGGAAAATCAATTAATTCTATCACATACCGAGGGGAAGATTCAGACGCACGCGTCATGTTTTAAGCAGCCAATAGTAGCAGGCTCGTGCTTTGTGGCACTATGACTCCAACCAATCAGTGGCCAGAGATTGCCCCGCACGAAGAAACCAACCAATCAGAGCTCACCAAGAACTGCTTGTTAAAGGATAGCCACTTAATAAAATTAATAAAAAAAATAAAAAAAACGCGAAATCACTAGTCTTAGGCATTCGTGCGACTATAAACGAAAATGTTGAACAAAACAAAACAAAAAAAAAACCCGATTAATTTATTGTACAGATACTTTCAGAAGTCGCATGCTAGACAACAAAAACAGAGGTGGAAGTAAACACCCTTCTTAATCAATGAGAATGGAACTTCAAGGAGATTTGGTTTTACCTATTGGAGTGCGTGCGGCAGAAACGATGACAACAGGTTCAGGATTCATGTTGAAGGACGCAGGTTGAAGCTGGAGTATCTGATCAGTCCTGTTCCTGTCTGTTCACTGACAGATCTGTTGACACTGCGTGGACTGCACGTCACATGGGCACCACAGCGCCACCGTGTGTTTGGGAGGATAAATTGATGCCGAAACAGAAAGCTAAATCAACAAAGTCCATGCTCAATAATCCAGGTATACAATCCAACATTTTTCAGTCAAGTCAGCTGGACAGTTTCTTTTTTTGTGCTGAAACGTTTCGCCTTCGATCCAGAAGGCTTCATCAGTCAAGGAAACACACAACAAAACTGATTCTTTCTCCAACAGCTTACTCTTTGTTGTTTTCATCCATTTGACACGACTGTCAACAAGGAAGAGGGCGGGCAATGGAGGGGGCATACCAAAGCGACCATCTTATCACAAGCAGAACTGGTTTGTTCCACTTTGGAGTAAGCTTTTGGGGGGAAGAATGTTTTGTTGCATTTCTTTGACTGATGAAGCCTTCCGGATCGAAGGCGAAACGTTTCAGCACAAAAAAAGAAATTGTCCAGATGACCTGACTGAAAAATGTTAGAAAGCTAAAACCACTTTACATGTGAACATGTCCCATTTGTTTTTAATGTAATAACACTTTTAAAGGTCAAGTTATACATTTAATAGTTTGAATAAAATTGACACCTTTTAATAACAGGATTCACTCTATAGTATTAAAAATGTTTTATTGGTATTTGGTCAGTACATGAAAAGGGCTGAAGTCAGTATAATATGAACATCACGTATGAACTACTCACAATTCAACAGAATCTTTTAAACAGAATTTTTGCCAATGAAAAATAAAAACTGCACAAAAAAAATCCCACAGGCCAACATCTAAAAATGACCTTATTGAATATAGTGAAGCTACTGAAATTTAATGATTTTATTGACTCGACTCGGGTTACAACACCAGACGTCTGATTTCAGCGTGAAGAGCTCAAACACCGTGGATGTGCTCCAATAAACAAGAATAAAACTTAGTTTTAAATCCACACAATTCAAATTTAGCATGAACCTTTACTGTTTATATCCTCATTAAGCAACATAAATGTGACAAAGGCATCACAATAGGCAAAAGGACAAGGATGTTGTATTACAGACTATGCATTTGCTGCCATATTTGTGTACTAAAAAAAAAAAGACATGTTAAAGTATATTACAAAGCTGCACCGTCGCTCATGCTCGAGTCCAGGCCGTTCTGAGCATGGCGTGACCCTGCAGTCCTGGTGCCCTTGGTTACCAGGGCAGCCTTGTCCTCATGGGGATCGGTGGTGGAGTCTGTGTCATTCGAGTGCTGAGTCAATGACGTCTCGCTGCCTGTCGGAGAGTCCAAGCTCTCGTACCCAACACTCAGCCGGCTCCCGAAACCCCCAGGTCCTCCAACTCTCCCTGAGGCAGTCTGACTGTCTGGCACCTCCTCTGAGTGGTTGGAGAGTTTGGTCTCAGCTTCACTGGGGCTAGAGACAATAGGGGACATTGGAAAATCTTCCTCAGCACTGCTGACCTCCCGGTAAAGCGTGGGTGTGGTCTCACTCCTTTGGGATGAGTTGCCATTGCTTGGACCATTGGAGACCCTCCCGTAGTCTTTGATTGGTTCAGAGGGGACACTGGCCTGCTCTGGCTGAGCGAATGGTTCAGCAGAGGAGCTGGAAGCAGCGGGTGAAGTCCTACTGGGTCCTGCTCCAGCTGACTGAGACTGAGAGAGCAACTGACGGGACTCCTTCAACTGCTGCTGCAGGACCAGGATGGTGCTTTGCATTCCCTCAACCTCCTCGTCTAGCTGGATAATAAAGTCATTTAGCTCTGGGAAAAGAATCCAGAAAAGCACAAGTTAAAAATGTATTAGAAATGAAAAAATAATAAATAAAAAGTAGATGCACAAATCTCAAAAATGCACAAATTTTATAGTTAATGATGTTGTTAATGAAGTTGTTTCGTTCAAAAACATTGTCTGATTGGTGATGATATATTTCCACCCCGGGGGCATAAAAATATTTGCCCATAGACTCTCATTAAACGTTTACATGCTTCTCTTCAATTCAAGATATAGGACCATTCTGGGCGCACTGCTCCTGCGCCCAGAGCTGAATGCACGGTACGGATCATGCTTCTGGTGTTGGAACAGATCGTGCAGTGACACTCACAACTAGGCTATGTGTATGAAGCTAGCTGCTGCAGGTAGGCTTTAAGCCATTGAAAGCCCTTTATCTAATGCATATGTTGCCATTTCTGACTGATATGCCTCTCAACTTATAGCTCCTAATGTTAACAGTGAATCATTTAAATTGAAGGTACAGTACATTGAAATGGTGAAATGCTATTATTATTATTATTGCTAAATAATAAAAAAGAAGATGCACAAATCTCTTATACTCTTACCATCTTGACTGCTTTTGAGCTCCTCACTGTACTTCTTCTGCAGGGCCAGCTCGGCCTCCAGCTGGGCGATGCGTCCCTGTGACAGCTGCCGTCCCAACTCCTGGTTCTCTTGAATCAGCATGCGACATTTGGCCATCAGCTTCTTCCCAGTTTGGCTGTAAGGGAAACAAGTCTCACATCACACAGTGAACCAGGAGACAAATTCAGCAGGCAAATAGAAACTATTGATCAGTTTTTGCTGCTCAAACCTCTTCTAAACTTATAAAGTCAGCAGAAACTCTTTAAAGGACTAAAAAATAAGACTTTAAAAACTGTCAGATTTGCAGGCATTGTAAAAATCAACAAAAGCCATCTGACAAAGACCTGTTAAATAATTATGTCTAAATGACCTAAATAAAAATTATTTAACATAAAAAAGACACGCTATTAAAAATGGAAGGATTACTGTCCACAATGTGGTCAAAACTCAAACACTTAACAGATTTCTACAAAACAAAGGCCTGCACCGTTTGACTTCAACTTACCATGATGCTCATGGAAGAACTTTATAAAATACAAGTACTGATTGTGTGGGAACCAAATAAAAACGTTAAATAACTATCAGTAAAGAATAGGCATAGTTCGAAAAGTCACAGAGCATATTATTCTGAGATAAGAAAACTATCGAAATATCCAAGTAGCAAACAGAAAAGGTGCATTGAATGTGTTGAACTCGACGGTTTTAAAGAGTCCTCAACTTAAATACAGAAAGATTAAGAGTGAACAACATTCAAATAGTTCCAGATACTAGTTGCTCAACAATTAGTAGAACAGTTTGGTCCACCTTTAATTTTACATTAGCAGTTACTGATGCTGCCGTAACCAACACATGCCACAAGGACACGGAAATATTAAACAGAACAGCAGCTACATCAAATCAAACCCGTAGAAGTAAAAATAAATAAATAAAAAGATGACCAAGAATATTTGTCTATATTGTAATTAGAATCAAATCAGAAGTTTCTTGGCTGTTTGTATTTATTATGCACCTCCTACAATAAAAAAAAGTGCCTTCTCTTTAGCAGAATAGTTGTGCATTTTAAGTTAACACGTCTGTATTTCTGTCTCACTTGGGTGAAAGATGTGAACACAAATCTGGTTTTGGAAAACTCAGCCTAAGGCACAGCTGGGCATTAAGCAGTAAACAACTGTGCCACACAGAAGGTAAAGAAAAGCCTAATTTCCAAAGCTTTAAATCTGTGGGAGAGATGGGTCAATCACAAAAATACACAAAATACAAGAAATTCATCGTCTCAAAACATGACTTCTCATGGACATTTGCTCTCACAGTTTGGTAACAGGACTCGGAACACCTACGGCAGTGTGTGTCTGAGAAGTTCAGTGCGGTTACATTCATCGCCAAAAAAGTGTGCAAACATTTTCACAAGTGAATAATAAGAGCCAATCATGTTTCCTGCTTTACACACTGCAGTAAGCGTTTGTATCAAAAGAACGAGATCAAATTAAACGCCAATAAAAAGAAACAATTCACAAAACAAAAAAACATGTAAATACACTCTACCGTGTGTAGGCACAAGCGAACGGACCCGCGTGCCTGAACCACCGTTTGTGGACCGAGGAGCTGGCTCCGCTCACAGTCTTAATGTCATTTCTAGTGTATCTTCCACAAAGTTTTACTTTTTAGTCTTAGAAATGTTTTCATGTGACTGAAATGTGTCTACTGTCCCAAAAGTCTTTACACTTCTCAGGGAGCCTAGCTGGTTGTTTGTGTGATGTGATCCACTGTTAAATGCTTTTATAAAGCAAGAACAGGAGTCGTCTTTAAATTGTTCAATTGCTGTTTTAGGCTAGGGAGGGTCCCTGCCTGACACAACCTCCCCCATAATCCCTTTATTTAATCTGTGCACTGTCTGGTTTGAGCTGAGGGGGGGCAGGGAGGGCATATCCACGGAGGAAAGTGAGTGACCACCTCTTCAGAACAGTCCGGACTCCTTCAGGCCCTTGGACGGTGAGGGGATATGAGGGGAGAAAGCTGTAACACAAGTGTCACCTGACCATATTGTCTTTTCTTTTTTAGGTTATGTGATATGTAGCTGGCACCGAACAAGAGAACAAAAACACTTTTGTTTCTGCAGTGACTGGCTTTCTGTAAAGTCTGAGTCTCGTGATGAGTACAGCATTTTGTCAGCCTTCCCCCCCACCATTGTTCCTGCATGCCTGCAGAGTGTGAGGGTGGGGGGGCGTGAGGAAGTCTTGCCTTTTTGAAGGGGGGAGTTATTTTGATTGTCTTTACCTATCAGGTGTAAATTTCCAGGCACTCAGTTCATTTAGGGCCTGCTCCAGTTTGTCTTTAGTCTGTTCCAGTTCAGCCTTCATTTTGAGGAAAAACAAGTTGATGGCTGGATCCACCATGGACGACCGCAGTTGGGCCACACTCGGCTGCTGGACTTGCTTGAGGTACTGAATCTGGGTCTGCAGGATGCGACAAAATACAAGTTAGTGGTTGGTAAGGTGTTCTTGTCTTTGTGATATCATTTGATCCGGTGGCTTAATTAATTTCTAAAAAAAATACAAATTCTAATTATTTAAGTAAAATTTGAGCACTCAAAATTCAGATTATTTTGGGGGCAAATTGTTGTTCCAGCTGTTAAAAATATTCTAAAGCTTAACTTACCTGCAGGATCAGAGTTCATAAGCTTTGACAACATTTTCTTATCATGAAAAAAATGACTAATATTCATTAAAAAACAACTAGTGTAGCATTTAGATGATTTACTTTAACATTTTTTGATGTTCAAATTAAAGAGCCAGGTTTCAAGTTTAAATATCCACTAGTTTTGGGCTCTGACAGAGGCGGGCAACATTTTTTCCAAAGGGCCACAAGCAATCAAAGGGCCGCATACAGAATTGGAAAATAAATTTTCTTTGTTACAGATGATCTAGAAGACCATTTTCAGGCTTTGTCTCATTGTAGCATAGTTAGCACGCTTTATAAAATGTGTATTTCCAATATACTTTAGGAAGATAAAAAGACATTCTGGAAACTGACTCTTGTGACAATATTATACTAATATTATACACGTAAGCTTAACATGTTATACATGTTAGCAGAAATATGCAAAATAATTTATATATTTGTGTTTCTAAGTCTTTAAACTTCAGTCTAGTTCTGGAAACACAGTGACTTAAAATGTTTTTAATTTTTTTTTTGCATATAATGTTAAATTTAACCCCCCTTAAGTCTCTTTGATTAAAAAAAAGTTTTTTTTAAAAAACATCAATTTTTTTAATTACATTTTTAACTAAGGATATTGGGGGCCTGATGGAGATATTCCAAGGGCCACTTTTGGCCCTCGGGCCTTAAGTTGCACACGTCTGAGCTAACACAACTACATGTTAGCACGGTGTGAATGAACCAAAGGGTAAAGTAGACTTCTGTTACTTATTCTGTTGACAAAAATGTTGATCTAATCATACAGTATGTAGCTAAACTTGTTGCTTGCTTTTATGCAGTTTGATGTCATCAAGCCACAAGTCAGTTTCTTAAATTTATTTGTCTGCAGAAAGCTTGACATAAACAGAAAACTAAACTTTGAAGAAGAAAAAAAACTTTTGTAGAAGCATTTATTGGCACAAAGAAATAAAGCCGAGCCCTCACACCAAAGTAAATTTGCAGCAGACACAAAGTGACTAGACTGCCAGAACTGCAGCTGCCTGCTTTCAAAATCCAAACTAAAACTATTTTAAAGCAGCTAATGGTAAAGAAAAATAATAATTTGCCAGTACATGAAAAAATAAAAAGTTAAATTCAATATAATTTTCTTTTAACACATAATTCACCCCAATAAATCACTAGGCTTTTATGAAATAACCTACTGGTACTTAAAGATCCAATCAAAGCACATCAAGTTACAGAAAAAATGATAAATCAATCCACCTCTAAAAGGTTTCTTGCCATCTATCCACCTTATTCCTGGGAACTCCACGTATAAATGATTATGGTACAACTTCCTGTCAGACACAGGAAGTAGCAGTAAGCACAAGCTAAATGGTAGCGGAGTACGGACAACGGTTTATTTGAAAGTTATTTGCTTTAGCAGATGAAACGCTATTTTTGATTTGTTCTCATTTATTTAACAACTGTAAAATTGACAAAAATAGCCTCGTGGAGTTCAGGTACCTGTTGTGTTCGCAGCTGCAGAACAAACTACATCAGTGGCTACAACAACAGTGATTTGAACACGGACCCAAAGCAAAAAGTGTTCCTGTGAAAAGTGGTATACATCAGGTATGATTTCAAGTGTATGGAGCGCACAGCATTATAGAATATGTTCATCTTTGTTATTACGATTTTCTCTGCAATTAACTCAAGCTCAGTGACGGAGGACTTTCCTTTGGCTGGGCTCTTTGTCTGCTTTAAAGGTAAAGAAGATTGTGTCCCACCTCTTAAGAAAACAAGTCCAACCTTATTACTGAGATGACTTCTGTTGTGACTTGGTGCTATGTAAATGAAATGAATTAGATACTGATACACCTCAGAGCTTTTCAGGTTGTTTATCGCTTCACCGTCAGAAGAACCGAGTCAGTGAAGTAGCTAAATCTGCTTGTGTATGTAATCTGTGGTCACTTCTTCAGGTCGTCCTCCACTCCTCTGCAGCAGGCAGCAATATGATTATTTTGTCCTGTTTGAGCTCTGACAGGTGGTGTTCCTACATGTTTAAATTAAATCCACAAAGCTCGGAGAAACTACATGAACTCGTACTGTTCGCGCATAAACAAACCGCGCCAGAAGTCATGCGCATAATCCACGCAAGGCACCATGGGGGCTAGGAATAAGGTGGATAAGGTGATTTCAAAGCAACCTGGCAAACTATGATCAAAACAAAACTGTATCTGGATACAGCAAAATCATGTAAAATGCACAAGACAAAGAGTAAACAGATACATACTGTACATTCTTGCATTTCCTGCTCCTTGGTGGCAAGTCTCATGACCAAGATGTTCTCCCTGCGCGCAGACTCCTGCTGCTGCTGCTTGAGCTTCTCCTCCGACTCCTTCAGCCCTGGTACATCATTAGCTAGGAGAGGAAAAACAAACACACCGTGAGATTAGTGTCCTCTACACCGGCAGCCAAACATTGTTATAGAACAGAGTCATTAATTCTCTGGGATTTTGGTCCAAAATATTAAAATCAACGTGGAACTGGATTACATTTATGAAACTGTACTTACAACACAGCTCTGCATATTTCGCCTCCAGGACCTGGACGTAGGTTTCATGCTGCTTCCACCTGAAAATGCCAAAGTACATTTAACAATTTCAGCTATAAAAAATTAAACATTTTACATCATTTATAAGCGGATACTTACTTTGCGCACAGTTCTTCTCTGTTCAAATTCTTCAAGTCTGATTCACTAAGGCGAACCTGTGAGAAAACAAGTGAATTAGGTTTGAAGACATACACGACGTATAGAAACAATTAAAATGGCTAAACAAAAAACACCAACCTTCTTGGGAAGAGGTTCCTCGTTGGTCATTGTGAACTAAGAAGTAAAACAAGAGAAAAGGATCAGTAAGTGCAGCGTTGTGTTGCGGGCTGAAGCAAATGCATCTTTTCAGCCGAACCGCAATAGCTGCATGTGTCATGAAGGACAGGCAAACCAAATGTATACATATACTATATATATAGAAGGAGAAACAATCGAGATAATGGTATTGAGGGACTCACTGGTCGATAAAAATCAAAGTTAACATTAAGCGCTAGCCAGTGTGGCAGCTAGCTGTGGACAGCGAGACCGAAGTGGAAGCTAACCAAGGTTAACTACTGGCTACCAGAAACAATTAGCATCCCCCTGCAAACAAATAATGAATTAGGCGACTAACAATATTACGCTTAAATGTAATTATGCTTTGATAAGCAGCATTTAATTCTTGGCCGTTTCGTCTCCTTGTTATCACAAAATGGCGGTGAAGGAAATGACTCCCTCCCTTACGCTCCTTTCCTGAAACTAGCGGGCTCTTGGTTGCAGTTGCCAGGCCTAGCGCCGTGAAAACACTCACCAGGCCCGTTACTTTCGATGTTTCACCCAACTCTAGGCTTGAAAAAATCCTCGTGAGTATAAATATTACAGGTGAGTTAAAATGTTGTCGTGTTTTTACAAGCTGCGGTCACGCCTAAGCTTTGTCGCTGACATCTTGCTTCGCCGAGGGCAGCAGAATAGCTACAGACGAACTGCTGCTGCGCTGCACTCCAGTTGCTGCGGAGTGATCTCAGAGATGGAGGAAAGAAGGAAGACCTCTCACTACTAGAAATATTTCTGAACCAAAAGAGCGACCACAGCACGGAGATCACGCTAGGTACTTTCATGATTTTGTTTGTAATTTAATGATTGTAACGCACTGAATTCATGTTAGAACAATTAATTCACAATTAACATCGTGTTAATTTATTTGAATTGCGATTTTAATGAACACCTTGTGAAACCCTTGAAATATATTTTTTAATGTTTCGATCCACCAATTTACCTTAAAGAAAAAAAAAAGACAGTTCTATTTATTTGTTTGTTTATTATCTGCTCCTGCATAAATATTTTCTACCATTACGTGTTACTGAGTGATTCATAACGACAACATAAACGATCTTCTGCGTCGACTTCATAGTAAAAAAAATGTCCACGTGACTAATAGGCTTTTAAAAATACATTTCTCGTATTACTATATTTTGCCTGTTTCAAAAATTGTTTACAGCATAAAACATTTTCAAAATTTTAAAGAATGTGTTTGATTTATAAACATCAAAATGCAACTCCATGGCTCACGGGATCTCACGTTTTCGTTAATGCATTTGAAAACCGAACAGAACGATTAGTCAAAAAATATTTTAATAGGGAAAATAACTAGTGTTCCCTAAAATATTTTATATAATATCATTTTAATAGTAAGTATCATGTGTTTATAGTGTCAAATGTTTAGTATCCACATTATAGAAGTCCTACCGAGGCCTCTGCACACCCCCATCAGTTGGTGATAATGGTACAGTCCCAGCTGTCAACAATCGCAATCTCAAGGACGGTTATTTATCAGCGTGTCGATTCAGTCTGCTCGTTGAGAACCATTTGAAACATGCTTTGCCGAGTTGGTCAAATACGCAGGTAAAACAGGTTTTAGCTTAGCGTGGAGAAGATATAACGTTGTTAGAAGTGCACACAAAAGTGAAAAAAGCCGTTTCTTACTTGGTGTAGTTAAAGTAAGAACTTCAGCCGTGAGAGCTAACAGTTAGCTAACTGGCTACTAGCAAGTCGACTACATTAGCTTAAAGCGCACCGAAGTGGGTTTTGTTGCATGCATTTTGGTTTGAGTGCAATTACAAGCTGGAAGATCTGAAATGTACACTCACAAAAATGCAAAGCTAATGTCACAAGCTCTCATTCTGTTAATGCTGAGTATCAGCTGAGCTGTGAACCAACACCAGACTCGTAGACATGTTGAATTTTTGTTTAGGTGTACTCGGTCTTAAATGCACAGTTGCTCTTTACTCTTCCTTGTTTGCTTGTTTGTTTCAGGTGCGCAGCCACCCTCAACCAAAGCATAAATCAGATAGCTGCATCAAGGCAGAAGCACACCCTTCCCGATTTGACATATGATTATGGAGCACTGGAGCCTCATATAAATGCAGAGATAATGCAGCTACACCACAGCAAGCATCATGCCACATACGTCAACAATCTCAATGTTGCAGAGGAGAAATATCAGGAGGCCCTTGCAAAGGGTACGTGAATTAGGCTCATTTCAGTTGTAGTTGGTGACAGGCTTTTCAAACATTAATGTCAAAAGTTTTAGCTGCTTCTGTTAATTGAGTTTTCTATAATCTGTCTGAATCTAGAAGGTTGACATATTTTGATGTACTTATGAATGTGATTTTTGTTTCAGGAGATGTAACTGCACAAGTTGCCCTCCAGCCTGCTTTGAAGTTTAATGGAGGAGGTCACATTAACCACACCATTTTCTGGACAAACCTCTGTCCCAGTGGTGGAGGTGAGCCACAAGGTAAGGCAAATAAACAATTTTTAAAAGTTCACTTTTTGATGCAAACGGATTTAATTTACCAGGTTCGCTTCCATCAGTATGAATTGTTGAGCTCATTTAAGAAAATGGATTAGATAAGACTGAGACTTTTTTGCTGCAGCAGCAGGTGGTTTATTTTACGGAGTGGTTTTTATTTTGATGGCTGCTGTTGCACTGAAGTAACATCATCTGTTCCGGCCTGTTTTGTAGGAGAATTAATGGAGGCCATCAAACGGGACTTTGGCTCCTTCCAGAAGCTGAAGGAGAAGATGTCCGCTGCTACAGTGGCCGTGCAGGGCTCTGGCTGGGGGTGGCTGGGTTACGAAAAAGAGAGTGGAAGACTTCGCATTGCTGCTTGTGCAAATCAGGATCCCCTGCAGGGGACAACAGGTCAGATTAAAATGACTTTGAAATGAAAATGAGGTCACTATTTCCTGCGGGATCAATCAAGTTCTTATCTTATCTTACTATTGTTTTATATTTTTTTCTGTCTTGGTGTTTAGGTCTGATCCCCCTCCTTGGCATTGACGTATGGGAGCATGCCTACTATCTCCAGTACAAAAATGTGCGCCCTGACTACGTGAAAGCTATCTGGAATATCATTAACTGGGAGAATGTGAACGATCGTCTGCAGATTGCCAAAAAGTAGAAGCTACTGAAAATGTCCCCTACAGTACCTTTTTTATTATGACCTGGATCAAAGAGTAGTTGCAAGTATGTTTTGGGGTAAAACATCCCAAATTCTCATATTGTTGTTCTGAAACAAGTTAGAGATGTCTTTAAAACACTTTCATAGTGAAGCAGATTATACTGACTTTATAAAAAGGAGAACTCCACAGCTTGAAACATGCTGGTCCTTCTGATTCAGGTCTGCTCCCAGACCTTTGTCAAAGCGCACAAGAAAACCACAACTTTTTAATATCAAAACTGATTTCTGCTGTTCACAGCCCAGTAATGGGTGCTGTAGGAGGAGTGAGCTGTCTTTATTCAGCTAACATGTATTAGCACAAGACAATGTGCAGTATGTTTATGAAGTAATGTAATAAATTACAATTTCAGTTGCACACAGTTGGTGTTTTATTGAGTATTTCATCACTAAAGTATAATGAATCCAAACTACAACTACTTTTAAGTTGCATCCATACATAAGAGTACTAGTTGAGTCACATTTGGTATTTTTCTCAGTGTAGCCAACAGAGGGCAGTGTTTCCAAAGATTTAAGGTTCTTGTGGTTTTTGCCTGGACAAACATTTATTTTACTAATATATTGATAAAAGCCACTTATGACAAGAGTCATCTTAGGATTGTCAAGCCAGTTATTAACCTGCTGACACATTTAGCAGTTGCAATAAAATGTTCTTTTGATTTCTTTCTTGATATGAATAATTGTATACGCAAGCTGCTTTGGCTCATTTCATCCATGTTACTGAGTGATTATAACTAATCACAGGAGGAATCGATAGTTTCCTCTAAATGGTGATGTAGAGAATATATTGTTTTAAGTTCAATCACTGTTAAAAAAAATGTTTAAACTATTTCTAATAAAACTGAATGCATCAGTGACTTGTAACACGTTGACCTGGCTTGACTTAGAGTTTACAAAGATGGTAGTTGTAAAATTTGTATATAAAAGTTTGAGTCAACAAATGCCAACACCCAAACTTTGTTAAATCTGTGTGTGAGACTGTGCCAGCCTTGGAAACTGAAGTTTGAACAAATCATAAGATGATAGCTTCAATAGACGTGGCCAAATTTTACTCTGTAGAAGCTGATTTTGCCAAAGTGTTTCCCCCCTTTTTTAATACAATTTGTTAAAAAAATAAATGGAGCTCACACTGGAGAATCCATAACCTCTGGAAGAAAAGATTGGAAAATGTATTCATCTTTTTAAGTCTCTCTTTTTTAAATTTATTTATTCCTCTTAAATCTTCCAAACTTTCTTGAATGTTCTTCAAACATACCGTTGGTGTGGTTTTTCTGTGGACACGTGCAATAATTCTTCCACGAGGCTTTGTTTTGCATCCTTATTTCCACTTTAAAACAAAAATCCTTGACAACTTCCATGCTCACACAGAGCTTTTTTGTACAAACTAGTTGTTTTTCACAGTTTAAGCTATAAGTTTTGTAGTTTTTAGCTTTTTTGCTACGTTTCCAGGCCATCAGTCAAACCTTCACCCTGTAACAGTTTTCTACATCATCGCTCATGACTGATGGTGATAATTTATTATTGCTGATGGCAATCATTTTTATGTGACAGTTGAGTTAAAATATCTCATGAACCAATTGACAAATTTTAATTAAACTCTGAAAGTAATTATTCAAGATGGTTACCACAAGCATGTAGCCATAGGAAACACAAAAACGGTTCCAACTCATCCAGTTTTACTCGGATAAAGCTAAATTTATAGGCGAGTCATTCACAATACATACTCTGAGCTCTATACTTGGTGCAACATCTTTGTTTAACACTTTGCCATTAACTGTTACAGTTAATGTATGTTTGCAAAATATCTCATGAACCAGTGGACCGATTTCAACAAAACTCCTGAAATGTAACCTTTAGCAGTTTCTCTAAAAACCTATTACCATTTGGAGTTTACCCAACTCAAGATGGCCACCACAGCTAAACAACCTTAGCCAATGCAGTACTGGTTTAAACAGCCATATTTTACAGGTATAGCTAATTTTGGTGTAGTATAGCTGAGAGTCATTCACAACATGAGTGCCATCACATCTTATCATACCATACCACTTTATAAAGTGCTTAAAAATAGCAACAAGGCCAACCAAAGTGCTGTACAGCAAAAATAAACAAGCAAAGGACATAGCAAAAAATGCATAGATCACACAGAGGTAACGATAAGAACTGACTAACATAGAATACAGACAAGTTAAAATGAGCTCACATAGTGTCAAAAGCCAAGGAACAAAAGTGAGTTTTCAAACAAGACTTAAAAACAGAGAGAGGGAGCCTGCCTGACATGCAGTCTGAGACATTCCACAGTTTTGGACCTGCAACAGAGAAAGCCCTGTCACCTCTGAGCTTAAAACAAGTGCCTGGAACCAATAAAAGCATCTGGTCTGCTGACCTCAGAGAGCGCTGCATATGGCTGCAGCAGATCAGCTAGATAGGAGGGGGCAGAACTGTTCAGAGATATAAAAACATACAGAAGGATTTTTAACTTAATTTGAAAGTGAACCAGGAGGCCAAAACTGGAGTAATGTGCTCTCTTTTGCCTGTACCAGTTAAAAATCAGGCTGTAGCACTTTTAACCAGTTGTAAATGTGCAATGGAGGTCTGACTAATTCCAAAAAGAAGCGCATTGCAGTAATCAAGCCTAGATGTTATGAAAGTGTGTATTACTGTTTCAAGATTACTTTTGGACATTTATGGGCTTCAATTTAGACAGTCGCCTCAACTAAAAAAAAAACAGGATCTAACAATCATATTTACATCACTTTTTAGTTTCATGGAAGGGTCCATTTTCACTCCCAGAGTCACTACTCCACTACTACTACTACTATAGAAACAAGTGCTCACTACCACTTGTTTCTCTAACGGGGCTAGAGAGGAATGGTCGATACAGTTCTTCTTAATTGTACCATTAGGTGGAAACACCATGACTTCTGTCTTCTTCTCATTAAAATTTAGGAAATTAAAGCCATCCAATTCATGATGTCAGCCAGGCAGTCAAGAAGAGGTTGGATAGAGTGCACCAGTGTGCTTCAGAGGGAAGTAAATTTGACAGTCATCGGCATAAAAATTAAAAGGTATGCTGTGTTGACACAAAATAGCACCTAGTGGCAGCAGGTATGAAGAAAAGGGAAGAGGACTGAGGATGGATCCCTGCGGTACCCCCCACCAAAAAGCTGCCGATGTTGAAGTAAAATTCTTGATGTTGACACGAAAGGTTCTGTCGGAGAGGTAGGACCTAAACCATCTGAGGGCCGGCCTTGTGATGCCCACCCACTGTTCCAGCCTAGAAATGAGGAGCTCATGGTCATTGGTGTCAAAAGCAGATGTAATAGGATAAGAAGCCCAGAATCACTTGCAACTGTGGCTAGGAAAATATAATTCATAACCCTCAATAGAGCAGTCTCAGTGCTGTGGAGAGATTTGAAGCCTGATTGGAACACCTCCTATCAACATCTTGAGAGCTCGCAATATTGTGTGTTCTTGTTCATTAGTACTTTGGTTTAAAACTCTGGCATGAAAAATGGAGGGCGATATGCATTCCTTAGGAAATGCTAGTCCTGCAATTTCTTTCTGCGAGCTACCTTCACAGTTTGTCCTGAACACATTGTCCCAGTTGGACTGGAAAAGTGAAATGTCAACGCAAAAGAGGTAAAATTTTCCAGGGTTTGCCGTCCTCTGTTCCTGGCAGAGAAGGTGTAGAAGCTAAAAACAGGGCACCCGTTTGGGTCTGAGCCCAAGTCTGAGTGCTTTGGAAAGAAGGGACACTCCACCAGGCGCCAAGTGCCAGAAACCAGGACTTTCAGAGGCTCTGAGGCAGCGGGGCTAAAGTACATTGAGCTTTCTGGATGATGGATACATCATGGGTGTTGAAAACTGTGCACAGACAGAAGCACATGCCCAAGATCTTAAATAATCTACCACAGTAAATTTCACCTTTTAAAAACTCCTCTTTCTCTCTCTTTGAGAAAGTTGAACTGAAGAGAGGATAAGATTGCTGTAGCAAGAGGGTGTGACTGTGTCTGTTAAATTATTTGAGAGTCACTCTTTGCTCCAGAAAGACTAAAAGGCTCACGGACATCCTTTAGGCAGCAGAGTGTGATAAATCACTGCGAGCCTGGGGTCATTTGAGTTTCTGCTGGATTGATCCACGCTCAAGAAATCCACACGGAAATCATTGACTTTTGTTTTTGCTAAATGAAAAGCTCTCATCACTGCCGAATGGGGTTCATTCAGAGATTAAAAAATGTAACTGCAAGACAATAATTTCACTAATTTATGGCTGGCTTGACAAGATTATAACATATAAGTCTTTAAAGTTTAATAACACTTGTTAAACACTTGTTTGGAAATTAGTTCTTCACATTTATTTTCTGCTTCTTCTACAGAAGTTCCCTCTTTGAGTTGTGTATTTTCCAGGTTGGTACATAAGCCCAGAGGAATAAACTTCTTGGATCTAATGATGGGAATGAATACGTTTTTCTGTCAAAATTTGGCTCTCTCGTCTGCTGCTGTGCTGAGAGTCAGCACTTAGCAGATCCTTTTTGGCTGCCAGTTCAGGATGTCAGCAGAGAAGAGACAAAAAAGAAGTGAAAAGGAAACTGGACATTGCCCAACAACTGGAGAACGGGCTTTCATGTGCAGCAGACTTGACCCAGTCCTGGCAATGTTAACCCCGCTCCAGAATGATCCCACTTAAACTGAAATATCCCTCTCGCCAGGTGGTCTCAACTACAAACTAAAACGTCTGCATATAATCTCCAGCAATAAACAAAGTTTATTGGTGACTCATTTAGTTTTTCAGTCAGATGAGCCAAATTACAATTAAATAATATCTTACCTGTTTTAGATAGCTCTTTGAATGGCCTCAGTTTTGAGTTTAATTGTATGAATGTTTATGAAGCATTCACACTATTGTGATCCATTTCTCTTCCTTGTGTTTTTTGGTGTGTTTCTCGTCCCGCAGATTTCAAGATACAGTTTTTCAACAAATCATACATCAAACATCTTTCAGGACAATCCTGCTATGACTTATGGTATTGGTGCAACTTTAGCTTTTTTGAAATATGTTGCCTTTTCTGCCACTGTTTCCTCAGAAAATGAATTGAACTCATTTTACATATGTTTAGATGTGTTTACAACCTTTTCCTGCTCCTTCCACATTCTGTTCTTGTTCAACTTCTTTCAGCTTCTTTGTGCAAATTTGAATGTTTTTCAGCTACTTTCAGCTAATTTCACGGTTTTTTTCAGCTGTTTTATGTTCCTTTCAGTTTCTTTCTGCTAACTACCACATTTTTTGTACTTCTTCTAACACCTTTTTACTAATTCCAGCTTGTTATTTTCCTTTCAGTTTATTTCTGCAAGTTTCAG